ACGGGCAGGAGTTGGCGAAGGAAGCGCATGATCAACTTGCGGTCACGCGGTCACTGGAGACTGGAGTTCGCACAAGCCGGCAAATGGCGGAGTGATTTTTGCCACTACTTGGTAAGTTGCAAGAAGATCGCAAAGCTGAAGACCACTAAGCTTTGATGCGCTTGAAGACCGGAACTGAAGTTCATCCACTCGAAAAACATGCCATCAGCTGTTTTGATTAGTTTTGGACTAATATTTGTATTGACGAAGTTGAGTGAAGAGGCCAAAGTATTCAACACAGGCGTAAGTTGCCTTGAATTTCTTGACCTGAGGCAACACAACATTGTTTCAAGCAAGACATCATTGCTTACATGGTTATTGTCTATCACTTACCTGACCCAGTGGGCCGCCCACTACCCTGCACGGCGCCTTTGCTAGGCTGGTCCAGTATTGTGTTCAAATGCCGCCGCAGCTCGTGGCCTACGAACCGATACCACCTACGCGCCAACCCAGCAGTGCTGGTCAGCACTACTGGCAGCAGCGCAATTGGCATCGGTGATCCTGTTGTGACATGACACTGAGTTCATATGGCATAGTACCATTATTCGATCAGTAGAATAAGTTCGTAAGGCTTCCAATCATGGCTGTCGCTCAGAGCTTAAACTTATGGGAGCAGAAGCTGCTTAACAGCACACCAGCCACACTGCCTCCAGACTACCTGCTACTCGTTGGGATTAATGGCACATTAGACTCGCGGTTCAAAAAGCCGCAACACAGAGCTCGCCACCTCGAATGCAAGACTATTGCTGTAAGCACCCGTCCTCAACAGTCAATGTCTCAAGACCTATTGAACGCTCAATGAGCCAGCGGACTGAGCGATGAGTGTCATCCCGAGGATACTCTGTAGTTGAAGTGCTTATCGACGTTATTTTATCGATACAGTTCTGAACCTGTCCAATCGCATAATACTCTTTCGCAGTGCTTGTGTTTTTCTCCATGTTCGCTACAACCCCATAACGGCACCACTGTACTTAGGTTGTGTAAAGTGGCTGTGTTGTAAGCCATGCAGTTGCTAGAAGCGTGGGCGACGGCTCGACTGGAAGCGTTGGGCGTCGATGGCGTGTTCGCTCCCTATATAGTGGGCATGTTACCTTCGCACGGTGGCGACGACGACAATCTAGAGGACGCCAAGTTCAACATCCACCAAGTGCTCATGGGCTGGCTGGCACCGGAAGACGAGGTGCGTTCGCCCGCTGTAGGCCTCAAGATAACATTGTAAATGTCTAAGCAAGCTAGCTATGCACGTAGGAACGCGCACAGGAGTTTGTGGACGAGCTGGCCAAGCTGTCGGACAATCCGGCGCAACTTACGGACGCGGCGATGGCTCTTGCGGCGCAGAGCAACGGGGACAAGCGCATTGAAGACGATATCAACAAGATATTGGCGCAAGACGAGGAACTCAAGGCTTCGGCTCCCACTTTTGTGCCGCGCAAGTTCCTGTCGCCTGTGGTGCCCGAATTCCACCCGACAAACAGTCCCGAGGGGAGTTTTGACCAGCTACAAGCAGCTTCATCGCCTCCTGTTGCGCTGAATCACTTGAACAGTAGTGACGGGTACGAACACGACGAGGTCGATAGCGAAGAGGAAGAAGACGATAGTGCTGCGATGCAGGACGAAGACAGTTTCTTCTGGTCCGTGGCCTACGAGGTACAGTGGACGACTTGGGCGTTGCTGAATTCGTCGGGATGAGAGACGCCGCGTTCCTATTTCTTTTTACCGTGTTATTTTTTTTAGAGTACCTTAAGGTCTTGCTAAGTTTCATGTGCTGGTGCTGCACAGTTGGTGAGCCATTTGCAACTCAAGTTCCAGGACATCGACCCCAATCGACTGTGCGACTTGTTGCGTCTGGTTGGACTGGATGTAGACAAGGCGCACGCGGTGCTGAAGGCCACGATCGAGCGGGAATCCATCGGACCCGGACAGGTGTGTCGCCACTATCTACAGGGAGAGTGTCGTCGCGCAGACTGCATGGTGCGTCTGTCATTTGAGACTTGGCAGTGCTGTGGAATGCTCACAAGCGTTCGGATTCGTCCCTTGTTGCGGCTATAGTTCCTGCACGACACGGACTCGATCACGTGTCGCTTCTGGCTGCGCGGCACCTGCTTACAAGCGGACCACTGCGTGTTCGCACACGACTTCTGTGAATACTACTCGATGGACGTCAACGCGTTGGGCCAGCGCGACTACGACAGCGAAGACGAGATGGACCAGAACAGCGCGCCGCTGGACATTCAAGCTGAAGACATGTTCCCGTCTCTCCAGAGCGCCACGTCAGGAACTACATCTCCGCAGC